GCCCAGCAACCGCACCGCCCCCTCGCCGCTCGCGCCCACGCTCTCGCCCTCTCGCCCCGCTTCCACCCCGCCCGTGCCCCGTCCAGGTCCCGCCCGGCGAAGAGGGCCCCTCGAGCCGCGTCGCTGCCTCCGCCCCACACGCGCCCCCTCAGGCGGCCACCCCTGCGCCGGGGCGGCGCAGCGACAAGTTGAAGAGCTCATTCCAACAGCACCAAGAGCCGCGTTTGCCCGAAGCAATGCTACTCTTTTACTTTTTGGGAATGTGTTTGTTTAGCAGAATTCATAACAAAAATATATTAGTGAATATAAATTTCGTTACTTTCAAAATAGTAAATTAGTTATGCGATTGAGTCTCTCATCCCCATTTGTCGTAAAAAAAATTCGTGTTTTTTTATGGCGAAACGTAAATGTGTCGAAGAATCTATAAATAAAAATAACTCTCAAAAGAACGATAATAATCCAATATTATATTTTTTAAATGACTGCCTAATGACTTCATTTCAATTTGAATTCAGGGAGCATGTAGGAACCTTCTAGATTAAGGGCTCGCTTCCGGTGATAGCCTGTAATTCTTCATTTCCCAACCTGCTTTCCCCGCCCCAGGACTCGTGCATGGTAAATCCATGTATCAAGCATGTCAAGCTTGCGGGCAAGGTAAATAGCCAGCTTAGTAGGGTGTGCGGGCACTGCCCGCAAAGCAAATGGCGAGAGCTTTAAAAGTAAGGGTTATTCAAATTGCCCGGGGGTGGCTAACTTAGCTCATGACTATCTTTTGGAGAAGTTAGTGACAGGTATTTCCCCATATGTAGCTTTGTTAATATAATCCCTATTTTGCCTATTGATGCCAAAACAATCAGTTTGCCAGGGTTAAATTGTGAGAGTAACACTAAACACTTTGAATAGAATGTATGTTGATTTCGTAATTTGTTTATTTAAGAGTACAATAATTCCATTAACTTCCTAAATTCAGGTTAATAGATTGAATCAAGAATTATTAATTTGTAAAAGCATGTACTTTTTTTTGTATCTCAATATTGCTGTGTACAACAAATAATTAAATGATTTGCTGAAAAACACAAACGGAAACGAGGAAACAGTCAATCAAACACATTCCTGCCACTTGGCAATCGTGTATTTACAAGGCAGAATTTAAAAACAAAATAAACATGGGATAGTAATATGTAGTAAAGAAAACAAATACAATACCAATATCGCATTCGACCTTGCTTCTAGTCAATAATATACATTATACATTTATTAGAACTGCAATTGGGTATGACCCGGTGGCAGTGAAGTGACAATATTTGCAAAAATTACAACACATGCATTAATAATAATAATAATAATAATAATAATAATAATAATAATAATAATAATAAT